TATCCATTGCTTCTAAATCACCCAGTCTGTGGTATTTTGTTATTGCAGCCCAAATGGACTAAAGACAGATCATTCACAATGAAGTCCTTACAGATTTCTAGGTCTACTATGGCAGTTTCTTGGCATATGGTGGTCACAGGTTGAGTATTTTTAAATTCAGATTAATATGAGGGTACAAATGATTAGGATACATTGTTTGTGTTGAGTTTTAACAAAACTGGTGTATAATGACAATTTTAAGACAAAGAAAAGTCCAGTATTGTAAGGAAGGGGTCTTACCTTCTAACGTGCAGAAAGGCACCATATTGGGCTGGGACTTAGGGCAAATCAAACTCAACATGTCCAGACTCAATTTATCCTACGTGCTCAACTCTCCCACCCACTTGTTACCCTGGATTCCTTATCTCACTGACTGATTTCTCCTTTTACCCAGTTATCCAAGTCTGAAACCTCTGTGCCAGCCTTGGCCCATCTTGGCTTCTCTTCCTTCCCCATTTTGTGCCCAGGTTGTGCAGTACATCAGTCACTGAGTCCTGTCCAATGCCCGGCCTTCAAGTACCAGGTCTTCCTAACTAACCTTCCCATAGCCACTCCTGTGCCTCTAATCCATCTCCATCATGCAACCCCTAGGATCTTCCTGGTAGGTAAATATGATCTGTTCTCCCCTCGCCAAGGTCTTGTCTTTGTTATCTCTAACAGGATTTCTCAAAGTGTGGCCCTCAGACCATCTGTAGGAGAATCATTTCAAGGACTTACGCTACTAAATTTTTAGATTTTTCTGTGGTAAAATTCATGAATCTGCATATTAAAGAGTGTCTCAAGTCACTTTTGTCTTTATTTATTTATTTATTTATTTATTTTGCAGTTTTTGGCCGGGGCTGGGTTTGAACCCTCCACCTCTGGCATATGAGACTGGTGCCCTACTCCTTTGAGCCACAGGTGCCACCCTGTCATTTATGCATGTACTGCAAGTGGTTTTCACACTTTCTATAGCACACTGCATAAACATTTCATAAACATACAGCACAGGCTCACACATCTCCCACTACCCCAGCAGGGGCTGTGCAATGCAGTGGGGAGGACGAAGGAGGCCTTGACTATCCCCTGGTGAGCAGAAGTGAAGGCCTAAGAATTCACTACTCACATGTCTCCCAGCACACAACTTCAATTCCGGGTGACATTCTGGAGCCATGTGCTTGTCCCTTTAGAGTGATTTCTAGAAATGCAAAAATCAACTGGGCAACCATAGAGAGGCCTTCACATGAACCTTGCATGGCAGAAGGGGGTGGTGGAGCCTGTGTGTGTTAGGAGACAATCCTCCATGACTACTTCAGGTTGCTGTATGGTCAGGGTCCTCTGAGCAAATGCATTTATAGTTGAGTTAAGAAAGTTGGTATAAAGAGCCATCTGAGATGTCTCCCTCCCTGAAGCCAATCCAAGGTAGTAAAGATAAATCTCTACAGAGAAGATTTGCTTGCATTTTCAGGTGATGAATAATCATTCTCTCTGCAGGGAAAAAAGACAAGTCACTAGCAGCCCAATACAAGATCACAGTTCCCTAAATTTGGAGTTCCTTTGTCATGATGTACCCCCATTAAATGTGCAGATACCATCTGGCCTCCTATTAGTCAACAGAGGTTACATGGGTGGCCCACATTCAAGTGGAGGGGAAATAGATGCTATCTCTTGATGTAGGAGTGGCAAGGTTGCATTCCAAAAAATGTCACGTAGTAGAGACTAGGGCTCAGTCCAGGATACTGCTCTGGCTGCTGCTTTTGCTGTAAATAATAAACTATCTTTGTTTCTGACCCAGAGACATCATGTTTTCTGTCAGAGTGTCAAAGTATGGCAAGTAGTGAATTTTTTAGCTTGCTACTAGAGTAAAATCTCAGATGTGTAACAGCTGCTGACCTTAGTGTACAATCACTCCTCAGGGCAGTCTTTTTCAATGTTTTTTATCTCACGGCACACTTGAACTACAGTTAAACTTCTGTGGCTCACTTAAATTATGTTGATTTAAAAAAAGTAAAAAAGAAAAAAGGAATATACTTATTGTGCTTTGAAGTTCTTTTGAAAATAATTTAATTAATGATTTTTAAAATTTTTTGCTGCCCACCTAAGGTCCTTTCATGGCAGACCAGTGTGCCACAACACATTGATTGAAAATCTGTCTTAAAAAAAAAAAAAGAAAGAAAGAAAATCTCTGTCTTAGAGGGTGGCTATGATTTGTGCATGTATTCTCAGCTGAGTGGGGAAAGGAATTGAGCAGGTGAGGGACTGGATCAGTAATCAAGAACAATGTCTAGGTGCTCCTGTTGCTGTCCCTCAAACACAGTGGCTTAAAACAATAGTTTATTTATCAAAAATCTATGGGTTTCAAACAGTGTAACCTGGGTCTTTGTACCCTCAATGATTCCCCAAAAATAAAAAAAAAAAATCTATGTGTTACTTATAAGATTCTCCTGCTTCACATGGTATTGACTAGGCCCCTGAGATGGCTGGAAGGACTGAAATGGCTTCATGCACATGGTGGGCAGTTAGTACTGGGTGCTGGCCAGGTTGGCTGAGAAACTCAGCTGGGGCTGTTGATTAGGAACTGTGGTTGTCTTCTGCATGGGCCTCTCCACGTGGCTGCTTGGGCTTCCTCACAGCTTGGCATCAGAATTCTGAAGAGCATTTCCAGAAGTCAGAATGGAAGTTGCAGATCTCTTAAGGCCTAGCCTGGGTAATTATAGCAAGCATCACTTATGCCACATTGTATTGATCAAAGAAGTTACAGGGCCAGTCCATACTCAAGGGGAGGGGAAATAGACTCCACTTCTTGAATGTAAAAAAGCATGTGCAATGGAGGATATTATTACAGCTGTATTTGGAATCATAATATACCACAGGAGGACTACACAGTAGTATTTCTTCAAGTGCAGTGAGTATCAGGTACACCTGGAGAATTTTTCAAAAATGCAGATTGGGGATGAGTCTTGAATATTAACCTTTGAGAACCACTGAACTATAAAACAAAGCTCAAACATCTTAGCCTAACATTTCAGACCCTCACTTGTCTTTATGCTTCAGCAACACTAAATTTCTTGGAGTTCTCTTGCACTTTAATATGCTGTTTAACCTACTCCACACCTTTTTCCATTACTGTGCCTTTTGCCTGGAATGACTTGACTTCTTTATCTCACCAAGCGCTTACTCATCCTATAAGATTCAGCTTTATGTCACCCTTTGTAGGAAGTCTTGCTGACTTCCTCTTCTCCCATGGATTGGAGGAATAGGTGTTCCCATAGCCTGTGTGATTGTCCCCATCATAGCACTTACCAACTTGTAACATCATTGTTAATTTTTCTGTCTCCTCCATTTGCCTGTGAACATCTTACCTGGGTATATGTCAGATTCATCTCTATCCCCTAATAAGTGTGCTTAATTGAATTGGAAGCCTGATTAGGATCACAGTGAATTCCTCTTTGAAGAATATGGTATTTAAAATATGGTTAAAATTGCACAGTTTTCTTTCGGACAAATCTCAGGGCATCTAGGATGCTTGCAGTTATTTGTAACAAAATACTTGACTAAAAGTGGGTGTCTTAGTTTGCTCAGGGTGCTATCACAAAATACCAGACTATGGCTTAAACAACAGAAATGTATTTCCTCACTGTTCTGGAAAGACCAAGATCACTAATCCCATTAGCCCAGGGCCCTGTCCTCATGACTTAATTACCTCCTAAAGCAATGGTTCTCAACCTGTGGGTCTGGATCCACAGGAACTGTATTAAAGGGCCGCGGCATTAGGAAGGTTGAGAACCACTGTCCTAAAAGCATCCTCTCCAAATACCATACCGTTGGAAGTTAGGGCTTCAGCCTATGAATTTGAGGAGGGACACAAGCATTCAGTTCATAATAATGAGTTTACCATTTGATTTAATAATTTTGGAAAACAAGAAGGCTGCATGAGGTGATTTTCCAGTGTGTCTAGATATTTTCCTTTCCTTCCTCCCAGCCCTTCTCACTCTATCATCCTTTCAGCCCAGGGTTACCGCCTCTTGGGTGTAAGATGGCTGCCAGGGCTCTAGGCATCAAGTTCTCAAGGTTCAGTTTGAAGCTATTAAGCTGGCAGGGCAGGATGAGTCTGTTGAGCACAGGTAACTCCCTGTCTGCAAGTCTGTCTTTTAATAGGAAGAGAACTATTTCCTTTATTATGTCCTTAGCCAGCCTGGGTCATAGGACTCCTGTTCCTACTCAGAGAAATCACAGGCAAGGGGGCTGTCATGATTCCCCTTCCCAACATAATCAAAGGTGAGCTGAGAGGGGACAGCAGACTGATATCGGAACCCAAACAAAATGAGCAGGGAAAGAAATCTAGCCTTGGAGGAGGCAAATGTTCTAAATACCTTTAGCATCAGACATTGGCTTGATTTTCTTAGCAGTGATTTCTAAACAGGAGTTAAATATTAGTCTTAATATCAACCGAGGGCGGAAGTTCCGAGGGCAGCGTCAGAACACTTGGTTGCCCTACAGATGGCAGGGGGTGGGTTCCTGTGTGTGTGTGTGGGGGGGGAGTGGAAGCAAGAGTGGGCTGTGTAGGGATTGCTAAAACGCATGAAATTGCTAGTGCTTCAAAATGTCAAGACCAGGGGCGCCCAGGGCTCTTGGCTTGTCTCCAACCTAAAGCTTTTCTAGGAAGGACAGTTGAGGGGGAAAATAATTTGTAATTCTTTATTTCCTCAAAGTTTTGTTTACACCCCACATCTCTAATAGTCAACCTGGTTTGACCGCAGAGCACAGCACTTTATGCATAATCCGTTTGGAGATTCCTAACCCCAGTGGCCCGGTACGTGCCCAGGTCCTTCAGTCAGGATGCCCTAGCACCCAAATCTCAGGCTCCTCGGACAGGTGCCCAGGTGGGGCGCAGCGGCGCTTGGGGGGACCCGGCTCAGGCCCCGCGAGCCGCCCTCCGCGCTCCCGCCCTCGCCACCCCCCCCCCCCGACCCCGCGCGCGCGCGGCCTTGTGGGTAACGCGGGGCCGCCAGGTGACAGCTAATGGCGGCGGCCGCCAGAGGCGGGCGCTAGAGCTGGGCTGCAGGAGGCGCTCAGTGGGATCTTCCCGGCGCCGCTCTCCTCGCGACTGTGGCGTCCCCGCGGCGGCAGAGCTGGGAGCGATATGGACAGGCCGGCGGCGGCGGCGGCGGCCGTGGGCTGCGAGGGCGGCGGGGGTCCGAACCCGGGGCCAGCGGGCGGCAGGAGGCCTCCTCGAGTGGCGGGGGGCGCCACCGCCGGCTCCCGGCAGCCCAGCGTGGAGACCCTGGACAGGTAAACGGGGCCCTGGCCGCCACGGCCTCCCGTGCCCCCGCTCCCGAGGGCCCTGTTCGAGGCCTGGCCGCCCCCACCCCGCGCGCCGCGCAGGGCCCGGCCGAAGCGGAGATGGGCAGCCGCTCTCCGGTCTCCTCCGCCACCCTCCGGAAACCCTGTACCCCCATAGTCTGGTCACCGCCCTCCGACCTGCCCCAGCAGCGCACCTGGCTCACTTCCGCCTCGTGAGCCCAGCTCCCCGAACCCCAAGAGGGGTTTCAGACCTGTCAAACCACTTCCCGTGCCATCTCTTGCTGCCCTAGGCGACCCCTTGGCTGTCCTTGCCCAGGCCACGAATCCCCGGGGGGGGGGGTATTTCGCCTCAGCTTTCCTCTTTCAGGGTCACCTTGCCTCATGTGCTTTTAAGACCCCAGTTCTGCAGCTTGCGGTCTTTGACGTTGAGGTGGTTAGTGGGGACTGGGGTACCTGACCCCACAGGTGTGGGAGCTGGTGCAGATCAGGGCAAAGATACTGTGATTTGAAAAACTGGGATGGAAAACTTCCAAACTGCTCACGAGGCAAGAAAACAGAATCGTTTACTTTCAGTTCTTCACACTTTGAACGAACCGGTTTATTGTTTTCGTTAACTCTTGCTAGCCTACTACATGCGAGGCACACACAGAAGAACTTAGAGAAATTAGAAGCATAAATTGCCCGTGTTCAACTGAGAAGAGCCATCCCATCTTCTGAGGACAAGGGATGGCTTAACCTCTAGCCCGGACATCCAGTTTTCCTGTGCCTTGGCCATTTCCCTGACGCTAGACTGTGCTTAGGGCACAGACATTATTGCAATGTACCTCAGTGAGTTTCAGGAGTTCATTCCTGCCAGCCTTAGTCATAGCAATGTGCTGAACTTTTTGGGAGTTTCCAGAAGCACAGGAACAACAAGAAACACTCCCTCACTTTGTTTCCATCTTGGTGTAATTACAATATATTTTAATACAGTAATCATCCCAGTGGTTAGCTTCACTAAAAACTACTCACAGCTGAAACAGCACTTGGAAAGAAAGGTGAGGATGTCACTCATCTTCAGATATTCAACAATGTATGAATGAGGTCTTGGTGAAAGAATAATCTGTAATACAAGATGGTGTTTGCTTTCTGGCTTACCATCTAGTGTAGAATACATACAAACCCAAAGTTGAACTTGAATATGTTAAGTGCTAGGGTAGAGGTAGAACACAGTAGTACTTGGGCTAGTGCATACAGCTGAAATCATTTAAGAAGTTGAAGGCAATCAGAATATGTCACACAAAATATGCCTCATATTCTGGTTTCCTTTAGAGCTTTTGATGATCAGGGAAAGCCTGAGACAAATGACATTTGAATAATACCTCCAAGGGGGGAGTTGTTCAGCCATATAGATACCATGGGTTGAGGCATTCTAGGCAGAGGCCTGCACAAAGGCCTTGGGTTGGAGTGGGAGTGAAGTGTTTAAGGATTAGCAGGGAGACTAGATGTCATTCGCAGGGAGGGAAAAGTAAGGAATAAAGTTAAAGAAGTCACTGGAGCAGATGAGGGAGAGCCTTGGAGGAACAGAGGAGTGAATGATCTGTTATAGATTTCACTAGGATCCATTTTATGAACCATGGAGGGGAAGGAGTTGAAGCAGAGAGGCTAGTAGGTAGTAGGCTATTGCCATAGGCCAAGTGAGGATGGCAGCCCAGAGCGCCATGCTGTGGAGAAGGGGAGAAGTGGCCACATTTTAGATATAATTTGAAGACCTGCAGGTTAGAGCCGGTAGGATTTGCTGAGTGAAGATGGGTTGTTGGGTATGAGAGAAGCCGCAAGGAGAATTCTCAGGTATTTAGGTTGTGGAAAAAATGGTGTTGTTGAGATGGAGAAGTCTCTCCAAGTGGAGCAGGGTTAGGAGACAGCATGTTCTTTGCTTTGAACATATCAATTATGAGATGCCAATTATATCCTAGAGCAGATATCAAAGAGGCAGTTGGTTTATATGAGCCTGGAGTTCAGGGGTGGTGTCTGGGCTGGAAGCCTAAGTTTTACAGGCATTGGCACACAGATGGGGCTTTAATTCATGAGGCAGGTGGAGTACATGAAGAATAATGGGGTCTGGAACAGGGAATCGGATTAGGAATAGGGCAGTGTGCCAAAATGCTTAGCAGGTAAGAGAGACCCAATCAGGTGAGTGGTCACTAGAGAGACACATTCACATATGAGAAGGAAGTGGTAGGTGGACTCTAAGGCAAACATTGTCTTTTGGGCTTCAGTGGCTGGCTAACTGGTTGTACCTTGCCTTGAGTTAGGTTGCAAGGCTGAGAGGCTGATGCTGGCACAGACAAGTTGAGTTGGTAGCAGCTCTGGGCCAGACTAGTGGTGATGTCTTATAGGAATGTTGGCATCAAAATCAGCCAAGATTTGGGTCTAGCTTGGGAGCCTCTAACCTGCAAGTGGTTGCTGATACCAGGAGTGTGGAGGGCAGTTGCACAGACTACAGAGAAGGGAGAGGAAGAGGAAATGTGGCCTCCCTTCTCAGCTCTGTCATCAGAATAAGTTCTGATTCATGCTGTTGTTTGAACAGTGACCCCTAAGTAGAGGTGTCTGACTCTACTCATGTGGCTTGGCCATGCCTCTTGACTGTGGGGCCCTCATCTCCCTTATGGATGTGTATTTCTCTTAACAATGATGAATGCAGTCCTGTAAGTGGATGTGTCTTGCTGAAGGTCATGGAGCTAGCTGATGACAAAAATAGGGCTTGCATCCAGGCCTCCTGTCTCCTAGCCCACTCTACCACACTGTGTGTAACTGCATTGGCCAGTACACTTCCAGTTGCAGGTGAAAAAAAAATCAGTCTAGCATAAGCCAAAAGGAGATGATGCCTTGATTCACATAACTGTCCCAGATAGAAGGGATGGCCACAAGCACAGTTGGAGCCAGGGTCGCAGGTTGAAAACAGTGTAATCAGTCAGGACTGCCTGAGAGATATACCCCAAACCCACGCAGCCCTACCAATACCCAGCTCATCCCACTAAGGACAACTATGGCCCTGTCTAGCCAGCAATTGCAGAAGACTATTGTCCCCGTCACCCCTTTTAACAAGAGTTGGGAATGTTGGGGGGCCTAACACAGCCACATAGAAGGAAACCCTTTCCCCTCCTCATCTTTCTTTCCTCTGAAGACAAAGACACAAAGGATCTAGCTAGCCCCACCCCGCAGAAGTTTGTTTCAAAGGACCCTAACTTTCCAGGCAAGCTATGGAATTTGTCCACTGCCCACAGCCCCATATAAAAGGGGTCTCTAACTGCACTGCCCAGGCGGGTCATCCTCTCCTTTCAATAAACCTGGGCTGAACATCTCTGTGGCCTCTGGCCTCGTCACTAGGCGCCTTCATTTGTACTCCTCCCTTCACTCCCCCTTTCTTATTTTTTTTTCTTTCTTTTTTTTTTTTT